TTTCGGAGATCTCTGGATTCGCTACTGAAATGGTCTACCAGCAACTAATATGGAAGCTCTTTCATCATATTTTAAATGATATGATTATTGATATATATCTAGATAAAATATTATGATGTAGCTGGGCATGTATTTTATGGAGATAGATAAGTTTAACATTGTTCTGTGTATATATTTGAATTTCTTCAATTTTAAACGAATGACCGCTGATTTTCGTGTATTTTTTGTAGTATTTCAAATGAATATGTACCCACTGTTGTCTTCTATCTTATTAAAAACGAGATTAAAATCTAGCCGTTTTGTGGCCGATATCTGGCAACCCTCCCTGATTTGATTATCATCTACTAAATAAACTACTGTTATTTGCACTGTTTATAACATGTTAAGTATTTTTATTTGATACTTAACAAAAGTGAACTTTAATTTGCATATTTTGGTAGTTGAAGCACTGTATGTATGTCATTCCTCTACTTTGTTAGTGGAATGACGTTTTTAAAACTTATTTCTACTATCAAAAATGTTATTCAATGGCCATTGTTTTCCAATAATCACTCAGTACATTATTTGCATCTGTTGTGTAACTGTATTTGTTATTGATTCAATTCTTGCTTTTACAGCTAGTATTTAAATATTTGAAGATTATAAAAAAATATCATTTCTATTACGGAATTTTTTCAGTGGGGCCATTTTTACCTACTTGTCATTAGGGGCCATTTTTACCGGGGCCATTTTTTCCGGGGCCATTTTTACCTACATCCGAATATAAATGGGTACCTGGTAAAGCTGTTGTGGCATTGAATGTATTAGTTTCATGTGCTGAGTAAAAGCGCACTACTAGGTACACTCTGGGAGCAGAGAAGGTTGCACTTTGTGCTGGTTTGCCATTGTATGTCATCCAGTGATTAAGGGTTAATGCGCTCAGCGCCCTTTAATCATTCAATTTGGGATTGGCGCCTATATAAATATATGACACAATATTAAATTAGTATAGCACTGTCACCAACTTGTAATGTGTAAATAAAACATTGAAACAAACATGACCAGTAAATTGTAGCAAGGTTAAAAAATAAACAAAATGGACTACAGGAAGATCTGAATCAGTGACTTAAGAGTATCATTCCGAGACAGTTACAGATCTAAACCACCCACTAATTGTAGGCCTCCCTTCTGCCCAAGGAACCGGAACCTAATCATATCTGCTATAATATATCATAGATAGCCTAATCATACAGGTAAACCCGAGTGCCACCTGAAATTGTTTTAGAATTAAAGGGTAATAAACACATATTAGCAATTAACTCAAGAGGTATTTGTAAAATTCTCCCCTAATATTCAATAATACAAAAAAATGTAGTCAGTTTCTTTATTTATGTGTACCAACTAAGAAAAACAAACCTAATGTAAAAAAACCGAACAAGTACCGTAAACTTCAAGTAACCACAGACCCTTGTAACGTTTTTACACTCTACCACCTGAGCTAAATTCCACATTGGTCAATGGTTGCTCTCAACGCAGTACAATTTTTTTAAAATAACAACCAGTAACATTTTCCCCAGGCTCAGTGTTGTTATTTTTATGAGGCGCCATGTGTATCACTTATTATTTAGCAAAAATTGGCATGGTTTTTTACGTTATATATTTATTTAATATTTTACATAATATATAATATTTTATATAATATATAAAATATTATATATTGTGGCTCAGTGATGTTACTTTTTATGAGGCGCCATGTGTACCACTTATTATTTAGCAAAAATTGACATGGTTTTTTACGTTATATTTATTTAATATTTTACATAATATATAATATTTTATATAATATATAAAATATTTTATATAATATATAAAATATTTTATATTATATAAAATATTATATATTATAAAAAATATATATTATATATAAAATATTATATTATATAAAAAAATATATATTATATAAAAAATATATTATATAAAAAATGTGTGTTCACTTAATATTTAGCAAAAGTCCTTGATGTGTCTGCCTAACGAGGCCCAGTTGTCACATTTACCAGTGTACCCATCTAAAGGAAGTATAATAGTTTACCATAAACCACGCAGTTCTTATGTCAAGAATTGTTTCAAGAAAATTAGTTTTTTTTCTATAAAAATTATCTAAAATTTATATCCCAACTAATCGTCCCGTGTGTATGTGACTCAACTTTTGCATAGTTTGCGATTTGAATCGATTCAACTTTTCTCAACGCAAGCGCCGCAACGCAAGGAAAAAGCTAATTTGCGTATGCTTTAACTGATGGATTCGTAGTTAATGCTTCGTGTTTACATTTTGGCGATGAGTTAATATCTGTCATCTTAGACCGTCGTCATCGCCCAAGCCACCACCACTTAAATAATAATTATTATTATTGGCTGCAGTTATCAATGATATACTATTATTGTTTTCATAGCCTATCATATTACAGTCCTGCCTGGTCTCGATGACAAAATGACATTTCACTAGTGTACGGGATAAGGAGATTGGAAGTTCACAACTCGTACACACGGGACGACTAGTTGGGATATAGATTTTCTATAATAATTTTTATGAAAAAAAAAATATCAAATTTTTTTTAAACAATTCTTGATATAAGAATCAAAATTTTTTTAATGAAAATTAAAGATGATGCTGTATTTTTTAAATCGAATGTACTATTGACTGCAAACATTTAAAGGCTACATAAACAATTTGTTTAAAAAAAAAATTGATACGTTGTAGAACTGATTTTTCTAAGACAGAAAAAAGTTGTTTGACGAAAAACTGGGGAACGATGAACGAGATTTTTTAATATTTAAAAACAGGGTGAAAAAGGGGCCTGTGAGCAGTGTACAGTGTGATAATAAATACAAAATCAAGGAGATGCATGTTGACATATAGAGAGGTCCACTTTTTCAAGTCAAATTCTTGCCTTTGAAATTCAGTCTCGGCCATTCTTAAATATAATCTTTCCACATGTTAATTGATAGGCCTACTTCTAAATTACGTTTAAAACGTTTCACCAAAATTGTAGGGCTAAATACTAAGATATGGCATGGCCTTGGTTTAGAGCGTTGAAGTAGGTCTAGGACTCGGCTAGTAGTAGGCCTAGACGTAATAATAGCATTTATTAAATAATATTTATATCATTTTTATGGTCTGTTTAAATTAATAACAGATGACAAATTAGCAGATAGCCTACATAGGAAACAGACGTCGTTGTCATGTTATCCAGTAGCCTACTGACACACTGACTGAGCAATCTTCTAAGCTAGGCCCAAATAAATTGGTTATCTGCTGCGCGGATAGTACACCGCCGCACTTGACAAGTCGCATTGGACCTGCCAAAAGAAGAGGAGTACAAGTGGGCCTCTAGTAGGCCTAGCCTAGATCCTCCTCCAGTGCAGAGAGCAGACGTTTCTAAGTCGTATCTTTATTCTGTTTTAAATACACATAATAATATAATTATCTTTTAACTTCGATAAACTTTTAGTTCGAAGACTGACGGCATTACTTAGCTGCAAAATAAAAAGCCGGATTTCTCAATGGTACTTTGTTTATAAACACACCGCATTGCCATTTAGGGGATTAGGGACTTCCCCGTAATGGCGTCGACGACAGAGGGCGCCATTCTTCTTGGATAGGTCTATTAATACAGGATCAAAAATTGTGAGTGGTCACGCTGGTGCCGCGCCGATAGCCACTACCCGCTGGTCACACCAAAGAGTATGGTCACACACACTCACTCTCTCTGGTTTGAAGCTCGCAGATGTCGTTTCCAATATTTTTAGTTGATGCATTTGCATGCAAACAGTTTGAGGGAAATCCAGCGGCAGTATGCCTTTTAACCAATGAGGTATTAATGTGTTTTTTGAAACTTGTTTTTATTGGGAAAAAAAAATTGCCTTAATTAAACTAAAGAGAAAGGGCATAAGGCCTAGGCCTATCATTAATTCAAACTACTGTACCTACCGGGTGCTCTAGTCACACACTATCACAGCATGAACAGCCAGAAGTGACAGTTTGAATTAGGCCTAGGCTTAGCCTAGGTTACAGGAGGGACTTTCACAAAGATATAATAGGCATATATAAATATCTGTCTCTTATCCACATCAATGTAATTTTTGAAATTTATTGTTCCGAAGTATCAAACTAGTACTGTATATTGTTCTTTTTTTTTAATACAAATAAAAATGATCTTTGGATAATATCAAATGGTAAATATTAAAAATTGCACATACATTAAAAAGTGATTAGGCCTATATAAACATATTTAATAGACATTTTTGTCTGTGTGCTATTACATGTTTTTTATATAATCACATTTTAATGTACTGTGCAGTTTTTGATATTTACCGTTTTATATTATCCAAATGATGTATTTTCATTTGTAATTTTCAGTATAAAGGGAGCTGGGATGTATCATATTATAGTCACATACGCACATTTATACATGAAAAGTAGAATTATCTTTAAAAATTATATTGTCTATTTTTTTAATGTTTTGCTAGGTACTCAGTGATGCTCAAATGCTTAAGATTGCAGTGGAGATGAACCAATCAGAAACAGCTTTTGTTTCACCTATTAATCCATCTGATACATTTCAAACAGGTTTGAAAAGAAGTTAATTACAATTATTAATAGAAGTTAGAACACTAATGATTATATTACTGTATATTCATAATGTATATTCACATTTAGTCATAGTGTACAAAATTATTAACACTCTGCCCACCAAACACAACAAACTTCAGAAAGAGTTAAAATTTGCCAAAAAGTCTGGCGGTGGCTGATACTATTTTTTCCAAACACCCTGGTGGTCAGAGTGTTAATAATCAACCTGCCATTCCCTTACCAGAATACATCAAACCCAGAACAAACCGGTGCATGAGGCTCAGCACCAGTAGCAACACCTATAAATTCAGCTTCTTTCCAAAGGCACTAAAAGACTGGGATGCGCTCCCCAAGGAAATCATTGAACTGTTTAAATGTCCTGTAAAAAAAATATAATTTTGAATGCTGGAACTGGAGTAAAATCGCACTATAGCTCCTATGTTGAATTATATGATGTATCTGCATTATTCTTTATTCAAACTTTATATAATTTATAGGGGTGAGGGGCATCTTTCACCAGCACAACTCCCAAACTTCAAAATTTCTGGTTCTAGGGGATAGAAAACCTCTATGTAATTAATTGACTCAACACAAATAATTAATTAAAAATGTTTCTGTATGTTATGTATTTGTTTGCATCTACAGGGGAACATTTCAATCTTCGGTGGTTTACTCCAACTAATGAAGTGAATTTATGTGGGCATGCTACCATGGCAACATCAGCAATAATATTTGAAAAAAGAGGTCAGTGGTGACAAAAATATGTTGTGATTGGGATACAGTAATAATGTTTTGAACCAAATTATACTGGACCCGTTACAGCTAAAATGTATTAGAATGATATGGTTCTTTTAAGACAAAATCCCGATGAATTTCTTCAATAAGTAAAATGTATTCTATTCTCAAATGCCTCATGTACATTTCTGGTAAAATGAATATACGTGTCCTACTAAATAGGCCTGCCAGTTTTAACTACAAGTTTATTAATCTATTTTGGAAAATAAAAAAAAAAGAAAAAGAAAGAAAAAAAGATAATTGATCGTCTAAAATATGTCAGATGTTATTTTCGGGCGTTTCAAAGCACAAAAATCGCAGGGGAATGTTACTGGATCCTCTAGGGTAGTGTTGCCTCGATCGACCAACTTTCAGCCCACCTTCCCCCCTTCTATTCTGACATTCTATTCTGACATCTCTGGATCCACCCCGATAAATATGTTAAAGGAGATATTTTTACTAAGCACATCTTCGTTGTATGGTTGCAGCCTTTGCACCAAGTTTGAAGACAATCCAAGCAGAGATAATTAAAACCAGAACAAAAGCAATAGCTTTTCCACTGTCTTGGGGAAACCCAAAATTAATGATTGTACAATTTAAATTTTTTATGCTATTTTCAGATAATATTAATGAACAATTGACTTTCCATACCAAAAGTGGTGAGTTAATGATAAGCAAAGTAGGTGATGAGTATGTGATGGATTTCCCACTCAACCACACAGCCCCACAGGTAAGCAGATTGTGATCAGCTTTGTCGTTGCAGGGCTTGATTTAGTACTAGTCCATCGTAGAATGTAAAAACTCCTCTGGGCTAGTAAACCTACCTTGTTACTAGCCCGGTGGGCCAGTGATCAGTTATAAACTATTGCTTCAAGTACGTTTGGATGTGTATAAGAGACAGTAATAGGCCTATATAAATATATAATATTATAGTATTTGTTAGCTTACGAATATCAATTTTTTTTAGATCTGTGCAATGTAATTTTTGAAATTTATTGTTCCGAAGTATCAAACTAGTATTCTCTGCATTTAGTGCAAGCTTCCAAAATATTTATTTTCTCCTTCTTTTGCAACTTTAAGTCACAGCTTGAGATCCTTTGTTTTCGAATGGCTATGCACATTACACATATTTTGCTCGTTTGATATAGTTTGGAATTGATGCCATATACATCTGGAATAATATAGATAAACTGCATAACTACACATTCACAATTTTTTTTGTAAACAGAAACTACTGAATTTTAAAAAAAATATTTCCCCAAAAAACAATGTTTAACTTCAGATTGTAATTGGAGATTTGACTCTCAAACACATTGAATACTCAGAGAAAACTGCAAAACTTTTGATTCGTTTACAAGACTCATGTACAAGGTAAACAGTTGGATACCACATAAATCCTTACGCCTTGTCCAGATTATCAAATTCCCTGTGACAAAATACTATTATATGCCCATATATAGTCATGATATGATGTCATCATGACCATATTTAGGTATATTACATGTTTCCACTGGCATTCAGGTTATTTATTAAGAAGCATATTGAACTAGCTTGAGAAAATTTCCAAATTTTTATATTAAGATAATAAAAGTTAAAAAAAGAACTCAGGATTTGAATCCAAAATTTTTTTCGTAAGCATCTAATAATTCCCAAATCTTTTACTAGTGAATCATATTCCTATTTAAAATTACATGCAGCTCATTAAATCCCATTATATACTTTTATTGCCTTACATTCTCAAAATGCGTTATGAAATTTCTCTTGTTAGTTGAGTATTGGTAAGATTGAACCTCAAGATGTTCAATACGCTGCTATTCCTCACAGAGATGTTGTAATAAGGTTGCCAGATTCAACATCAAGGTGAGACAATCCCCGGTAGTCTTCAAACGAACTTTAGTCGTAGTTTTAGCTAAAACTTCAAAATTATGTCATTTCATATTTTTAAAACGAACTTCAACTAGCATTATGACTCAATCATACAAACCCTGACTAAAACGATACCTCTGCAGGCCTATTTTTTTTAGTCGGCCTAGGATCTGACAAAATCGCCGAATTGAAATATTTACCCCACTAAAAGTGTGATTTTTCTAACTTTATGATAGTGTGAAAAGAATAAAAGCGATTGTAGTAAGTAGGTCTGATGTATCTTCTGTGTGTTTAAGGAAAGGGACAATTCGTTTAGCTTCCAAAAGGCGAAATTAACATGTTATGGTAGCCACATGCGATAGTTCATGATTTGCACAAAATCCCCTTGTTCATTTCACTTAGGTTCTCCATAACAACAACAAAAATGGCGCCGCTTTCACTCGAGCTTAACCATAATAATTTTCCAAAGAATGCAAATTTTCAGTGACTGTTCAAATTCTCTATTGTTATATGTTAACGACTAATATAGTTATTATTATGGAAAATTGATTTAGACGTAGCTAGTACTTCGACTATGTTGTTTATGAATACAAATTAAAATTTAAGTTGCAACTAGGACTAGATGAAGTTCTAGTTTCAAAGTTGACTATAGTTCGTTTTAAGAATACGGGCAAAATGTACAAATACCCGATAACCTGAATGTCATGTACTGAAAGATAATTATGATTTAAAGGTAAAACATAGAATGGACTTTTCCACTAAACCACGCCCCTTGGATATTGTTGCTAAGGCCCCTACAAAACAGTAGGATAAATGTATGTAAGCATATGTAGGACAGCATGTGTGTGTGTTGGGCATAGCACATACTTCTAGCACTGCTCTGGTTGGTCAGTTGTTAAGTTTGATAACACTCGGAAAAGGTCCTTTCATTGGAGCTGTAGCTTGGTGGAAGGTGCTTGCCTTCCAATTCCAGGGTCCTGGTTTCAATTCTTGTCAGTAGCAAGATTTGTTTTAATGGCCAAAACAACTCTGTCCTCTAAGCTCATCATAAGGCTAGTTATAGACAGGATTGTGAATGTGTTTGTCCAGTGTAAAGCATGGACACATACATAACACGGTCAGTGATTAATACAACAATCTAGTATCAACACCACTTATAGTAGATTGAAAAATATTACGTTTTATAACACACCTAAATAGAACACTGTCATTTAATTGGTGGATTTCGTATCATGTGACATTAGTTATTTACCCCATTTATACTATTTGTGCATTTTCTTTTCATTCGTTTATTCCCACCTATCTAATACAATTTTTTCATTGGTTAAAGAGGCTCTGAATGGTTCCATTCAGAAAAAGGGTAGATCTTTTTTATAAATTATCAAATTACTATACAAGAATCTCCATTCAGAAAAAAGGTAGATTTTTTCTTAAAATATCAAATGACAAGAATCTATTTTAGGTGTGTAATAAAACAAATAATGAATGTTTTTTATTCGCGTAATGGAAAGAATATTTCATTCGTTGAAAGATTTACTGTTCCATCTCGGCTCCGCCTTGTTGGAGCCAATATTTTAACTCATGAATATATTCTTTCCATTGCACTCATGATAAACATTCATTATTTGTATACTAAATGATAAAGCCAACATCACAATTTTGGTCTAGTGTAACATATTCATTTTCTCATATATCTGACAAATGTTTTAGTCTTGTAACATTGTTGCTTTGACTGTCATCAGAGACGTTCTTGAGGGTCTGAAACCAGACACGACGGCCATGATGAAGGCATTCCCAGACGGCCATATCAAAGGAGTCATCGTCACATTACGTGGGTGTCCCGAAAATGGTGGCAAAGATGAATGCGGCGAAATGTTTGATTTCATGTCACGTTACTTTGCCCCGTGGAATGGAATTCCAGAAGATCCTGTTACAGGTATGTTAAGAGAGAGTTGATTTTCATTTGCTATTATAACAAATGTTTTAAAATAATTTTTACAAAATGGAGTTATTTGCATAACGTTTCCAATTATATTAATATTATTAATATATATATATACATATATATATTTTTTTTTTATTTCTTCTAGGATCAGCTCACACAGTACTTGGAAGTTACTGGTCAGGCCAGCTTAATAAGACAGAACTTTATGGTACGTAGGCGATGTGAAAACCCTAATTATTTTGTATTTAATGCTTGTGGTACACCATGTAGATAGTTCAGATATCATCTATTTTGTTTTATTAATATTTTATTAAAACTATTATGATTTTGATGGTCCTAAGTAATCAGCATTTACTGTACGGTTCACCTCCATTGAATATGGTTCAAATTCAATATTTGTTCATGTTTGATTTTTTGCCAATCCAAAATGGCATTGACAAATTTTTCAACTTAATAAAATTTGACTTGCAGGTTGTTAATGTAATGGAAAACACAACAATTTGACATGTAAAATAAGATCGACTTAGAAATTATTCGAGTTCAGAAATGTCGACTTAGGCTATTTTAACTGTATTATTGTTTATTATTTGTTTATTATTTGTTTTCGGTTAAAAATGAAAAATAACTTCTTGTTTTCATTATTATTTTTATATATGGTACACCACAAACAGCACTATCTTAACAGATATGAATTTAGCAATTCCTGTTAGATTGAATCCTATATTATAATATGACGACAATACTGTTAATAATATTTTTAGTTATATATTAATAATATGTGGCAAAGACAAGTCAATGTACTTATCCCTTGTGATAAAATTATTTGTTGGTTTGTTCTCCATTTCAGCCAGACAGTGTTCAGCAAGGGGTGGTAATGTTCGGCTGAGTGTGAAAAAAACGAGAGTTAATTTGGCGGGAAAAGCAGCCATCGTTGTTGAGGGAAATATAACTTTAACATCATGAATCTAAAATTACAATTTGTAATCCAATCAGAAATATTCTTTCATAGCATCTTTATATGTAGATATTGTGAGTTGTAATCCAATCAGAAATACCCTTTCATAGCATCATGATATACAGAATTTGTGAGCTGTAATCCAATCAGAAATGTTCTTTTATAGCTGTACTGTATGTTTATCAGTATATTTTATTAAATATATGTTCATAACTGTTCCAAGTAGTTGCATTTGGTTGTTTTTATATGACTTGTGTAAATCTAGCATGCATTCTTTGCCTAGACCGGCAATTTCCTTTGTTGATCTCTTTTTTATATATTGTATGTCGTATTTTATAAAGTAACAGTAAATGAAATATCTAAAAAGGGTATATGTATGCTGTCCCTAATGATTTGGAACTTGCAATGGTAGAACAAAATCGTACTTGATATTTACAATAGAAATTATCGAAGTGACGACACATCAACTGCAACTCTACGATAGAAGTTTAATTCACAGCAGTATAAGTCCACTTCAATTAATAAAAGTCAATTAATCGTATGTAAATGAAAACAAAAAAGAAATACAAATTGATAAGCTAATAACGAGGCTCAATACTATAAACTAGTATTTAAAAGACAAACAAGGTAAACAAATCTCTGGTCTAAGTATTTAAGCATTGGCAAAATTACTAGCTAAATTCTATGGTGACGATATCGAAGAAGATTTTTTTTTGATTGGCGATGTTTTTGTCCTGTAAATGGGTGCAATGTTGAATTAGTAGTCAAATATAAAAGTTTGGGTTCCTTAGTCTCACTTCACAGTTTCTGTAGGCTTGCTGAAGGCTGCAAATTCGGTATTCTGCCTACTGTATATAGGCAACGTCCTATTTTTCCCTTAGATGATAATTTTTATGACATTGATGATGATGATTTATTTATTCAACTTTCTTTATACTGGAAGGCATGCTCAATGCAAATGCACTGGTTTTCGTTGTGGTCCAGTTAGAACGTAAAAAATACAAAAGTGATAAAATGAAAAGGAAAATATAAGGAAATTTTAACAAAAAGGACTTAATTACAAAATAGAGAGATTAATTATTTTAGAGCATTTTTAAAGGTATTTTGATTTAAATTCTGGAAATCCCTAGTTATGTTACTAGGTAGTTCGTTCCAGTTCATGGATGCTCGATAGTGAAAGGTCCGTTTTCCTTGACAAATTTTCCACTGTGGAACTAAAAGATGATTATTTGTCTGACTTCGCGTCGAGTATTTTTATCATTTTTGAGAAAAACAAACATCTTATTTAAATAGGAAGGTGCAAGTCCTTGAAGACATTTAAAAAAGTTATGAATAATATGATGGTGATGGTATGATGATGGTGGTGGTGATGAGGATAATAATGTAATAATAACTATAATCAATATTCACCTATGCAACATGCTGGTAGACTAAAAATGTCTACCTGCTGAATTTATTCATATTTCCTCTTTAAATAAAATAATTTGTACGAATTAATCATACTTTCTGGCAACCTTGTAGCAATACAATATGGCGGTGGTTTCAAACTCTCGCCGCATATCGCTTCCAATATTTTTAGTTGATGCATTTGCATCAAAACAATTTGAGGGAAACCCAGCTGCAGTATGCCTTTTGGCCACTGAGGTATTTATGTGTTTATGAAATGTTGTTCATTGAACATTCTGCATAGACATATGGCTGGGCCTGAGCGTAGCTAGGCCTAGGCCTACATACTGCTATTCCTGTCTCTTATACACATCTAAATAATATGTGGCAAAGACAAGTCAATGTACTTATCCCTTGTGATAAAATTATTTGTTGGTTTGTTCTCCATTTCAGCCAGACAGTGTTCAGCAAGGGGTGGTAATGTTCGGCTGAGTGTGAAAAAAACGAGAGTTAATTTGGCGGGAAAAGCAGCCATCGTTGTTGAGGGAAATATAACTTTAACATCATGAATCTAAAATTACAATTTGTAATCCAATCAGAAATATTCTTTCATAGCATCTTTATATGTAGAATTTGTGAGTTGTAATCCAATCAGAAATACCCTTTCATAGCATCATGATATACAGAATTTGTGAGCTGTAATCCAATCAGAAATGTTCTTTTATAGCTTATAGCTGTATGTTTATCAGTATATTTTATTAAATATATGTTCATAACTGTTCCAAGTAGTTGCATCTGGTTGTTTTTATATGACTTGTGTAAATCTAGCATGCATTCTTCGCCTAGACAGGCAATTTCCTTTGTTGATCTCTTTTTTATATATTGTATATCGTATTTTATAAAGTAACAGTAAATGCTGTCTCTTATACACATCTAGATGTGTATAAGAGACAGAATTAGTGGATTTCGTATCATGTGACAATGGTTATTTACCCCATGTCGTCACTCATCATTGAAACTTATTTTCATCCGTGCATTTTCGTTCCATCCGTTTTTGCCCATTTCACGGTGCCTAGAATATGACTCCAACCTACTACAATCTTTCGATTGGTTAAAGACATGCTGGACTGTTCTAAAAAGGGTAGATTTTTTTCATAAAATATCAAATGACAAGAATCTACTTTAGGCATGTTGTAAAACAAATAATGAATTTAAGAAAGAATATTTTCATGAGTTGACAGACTGACTGTTCCATTCAACTTGGCTCCGCCTCGTCGAATGGAGCAGTCAATCTTTCAACTCATTAAACTATTCTTCCTATTATGCTCATAAAATCTATTAGTATTTGTATACTAATAGATTTTTATTTTCCCTTATAAGTTATATCAACTTTTTAGTGTAAATTAAAATTTTAGCAATTTAATCTCATAACTACAATGTTGCATCTTTGAAAAATACATATGAAATACTTGATTTAGAATGATTTTTTATGCATAGAGACAATTGTCTTAGATGCCCTATAGATTTATAAATACAGCTGAACTTGCCTAAGTCGAAATGAAAAATTCTTCAACTTAGATAAAATTTAACTTACAGAATGGAAAATACAACAATTTGGCATGTAAAATAAGATAAACTTGGAAATTATTCGAGTTGGGCACGTTTAACTGTAGTGCATACATTGGTTTGCACATTGGGACAATTGTGTTATGGTAGTCAAGAGTACAAAACATAAGCTAGGAGGGGTCAACAGCGTATGTGAAATGATGACCTAAAATCATTTTTTGTGTACTTTAGGATGGCAAGTGACACAGAAAAGAGTATGTTTTGTACTTTCTTAAAAAATTATGACCCCTTGTGCCTCCTATAAATTTATTTAATTATCGTCTTTCAATTACTAGCTAAATTCTATGGTGACGATATCGAAGAAGATTTTTTTTTGATTGGCGATGTTTTTTCCTGTAAATGGGTGCAATGTTGAATTTGTAGTCAAATATAAAAGTTTGGGTTCCTTAGTCTCACTTCACAGTTTCTGTAGGCTTGCTGAAGGCTGCAATTTCAGTATTCTGCCTACTTGTATATAGGCAACGTCCTATTTTTCCCTTAGATGATAATTTTTATGACATTGATGATGATGATTTATTTATTCAACTTTCTTTATACTGGATGGCACGCTCAATGCAAATGCACTGGTTTTCGTTGTGGTCCAGTTATAACGTAAAAAATACAAAAGTGATAAAATGAAAAGGAAAATATAAGGAAATTTTAACAAAAAGGACTTAATTACAAAATAGAGATTAATTATTTTAGAGCATTTTTAAAGGTATTTTGATTTAAATTCTGAAAATCCCTAGTTATGTTACTAGGTAGTTCGTTCCAGTTCATGGATGCTCGATAGTGAAAGGTCCGTTTTCCTTGACAAATTTTCCACTGTGGAACTAAAAGATGATTATTTGTCTGACGTCGAGTCGAGTATTTTTATCATTTTTGAGAAAAACAAACATCTTATTTAAATAGGAAGGTGCACGTCCTTGAAGACATTTAAAAAAGTTATGAATAATATGATGGTGATGGTATGATGATTGTGGTGGTGATGAGGATAATAATGTAATAATAATTATAATCAATATTCACCTATGCAACATGCTGGTAGACTAAAAATGTCTACCTGCTGAATTTATTCATATTTCCTCTTTAAATAAAATAATTTGTACGAATTAATCATACTTTCTGGCAACCTTGTAGCAATACAATATGGCGGTGGTTTCAAACTCTCGCCGCATATCGCTTCCAATATTTTTAGTTGATGCATTTGCATCAAAACAGTTTGAGGGAAACCCAGCTGCAGTATGCCTTTTGGCCACTGAGGTATTTATGTGTTTATGAAATGTTGTTCATTGAACATTCTGCATAGACATATGGCTGGGCCTGAGCGTAGCTAGGCCTAGGCCTACATACTGCTATTCTGACAACCGGGTGATGTGACACAATCACCGCCTGAGAAGCCCGCATGAGCAGTTTGTACTCGGCATAGGTAGGCCTAGCCTAAGCCTTGGTACCGAGTCCTATTAAACTGTCATTACTCTAGTCCACCGGCAATTTTGAAAGTAGTAAAAACCTAAGGCAGACAGTACGTTTACTGCAATAATATCATTTGGTAATCAAGCTAGTTAGGGTAGGGCCAATTCGGCCCAAAACCAACTGGCCCCAGACCAACTCGGTTATTCAAGACGGCAGGTTAAAATAGTTGGGTGTTCCCTGTATGGTGAAATGAATAGTAGACTTTATTGTCGGTTTTTGCAAGGGTCTAGGCCTAGCCTAGGTGAGTATAGGCCTATATTCATTTAAAAACCTATTGGGTGTTGCCAATCTGAAATAAACAAAATACCAGAAAAATATTTACAAGAAATAACAGTAGTGCATCTGTTTAATTCCAAAGACTTTGCCATTTGGAACAAAAAATCTAACACTTCTGCAAAGTGTTAGATTTATTGAAAAAAAAAAAAATCCCTGCAGCCAGCCTAAAAAACAGTTAGGCCTTCTGTTATACTTCAAAACTTTTCCGTCGTGAATTGAAAAAAAAAAAAAACTTGGTATGTAGCCAGTTTGAATTAAATACCTGAATAAATCTGTATATTTGTGTATTTTGTTTTGCTTTATATTCATACAACTATAAATTATTATATAAAGGTATGTTAAGATTCTTCTAAAAAATAATTAATGGTCAGGACTAGTAATAGTTCGGATAATATAAAAAATAAGTAGTAGAATGGTAATAATAGGCCTGATGAAAAATAATATTAGGCTTAATTATATATGATATTAATAATTATAATAATACTAAAATAATAACAACAAATATAATAATTATAAAATATATAATATAATATAAAAATAAATAATAAGAATAGTTTTACAAAAAAATATTAGACCTATAAATATTATTGATAATTATAATAATACTAAAATAATGATAATAATTGTTTTTTTGGTAATGGGTATTCGTGATCGCTATTTATCTGGGTAATTCGGTATCATTTGGGGGGTAGTTGTCTGGGCCGAGTTGGTTTTGGGCTGGTGACCTGCCACCGACTAGGCCTACAGTTCTAGGCCTAGTAGGCTAGGCTACAATATAAAGTTCCAACAAAAGTTTACATTACAAACAAAAGCTTTTGACATTCCACAGCTCAAGATTATATATAATCAGGCTACAATATAATTATAATGGGATATAAGCTACAAATTATATTGAAGGGTTTAGATTTTGAAGCATTATGTATATGAATGTAAACAGTGTAGTCATGAGATGGTTAAATTGCGGGTGTAATAAAAAAAAGAAAATTTTTTTTTTTTTCTGAAATTTCCACTTTAGGTGGCAACGGGCGCGCTTATAAGCTAAAAATAAAATTTTCTTTTTATTCAAAGTCATTATTAGGCGGGCGGTGGGTTCGCTAAACAAGGTAATAATTAATGGAAAATAAATTTAGGCTTATACCTTTCTTCCAAGTCAGCAATACAAGTTTTAACACAAACAACTTAGAAGAATTTGGTAATCAACTACCTTTTCTTTAGAATGGAACAATCCATCTTCTTTCAACCAATGGCAACATGAGTGATGAAATGGTGTAAATGTCAAGTGATACGAATCCAGTAATCAAATGACAAGGATCTATTTAGTTGTGATATAATAATTTACAGTGTTCTCACAAAGTCGTTTTAGTTGTCAACTTTAGCCTTCCATTTTACCGCTAAAAATAAGCAGCCAACCAGTAAAAATGTTGTGCTTGTAAATTTAAAAAAATTAATTGAAAGGCCTAAGTGATCTAGGCTAGCCACTTTCAATAAAGGAACATTATTCTAGTCTTAAACTAAGCTATGTGTTGCTTTTTCAAGTCTTTTAATCCCACTCAAAAGGGGAAAGGCCTCACACTGCGTTCATAGCTGAATTTTTATGGACAAATTTACCAGTAAAAATGTTTCAATTGGGAGAACACTGATTTTTCTAATAATGTTTCATCTGCATAAATACTGCAACAATCTCTTCAAGCTAGGATGTAGGCATCAGCTTTAGTCACAGCCAGTGCATAATTAACATATGTTCGTAATATTTAAAATTCAATTATCTTTTGATCTTTTAATGGTATTTATAGGTACTCGGTGATGCTCAAATGCTTAAGATTACTATGGAGATGAACCAAACAGAAACAGCTTTTGTTTCACCAGTTAATCCATCTGATACATTTCAAACAGGTTTGAGAAGAAGTTAATTACAGTTACTTATAAATATTAATAAAATATTATATTATTTCAAATATTCTTTAAAAAAATAGTTATGTATTTTCTTTGTGCGCCAACTTTATCAATGTCAGATGGCTCACAAAGGCTTTCTGAAAAAAAAATCATGATACTTTAAGCTATTAGTAGCTAGGCCAACTGTTACTAACAACATAGATCATAAAATGCATGCATGAGTGAAAACAAAATTTTAACTGGTGGGGACGCCCTTTGCCAGCTAAACTCCCATTTCCGATATTTTGAGTTCTAGGGGCTGGAAAATCTGTATGCATTTAATTCATTTGTTGAAAGTTTTTTTATGCCCAATACAAATATTTAAAAAAAAAATATGTTTCTGTATATTATGTATTTCTTATTATTGCATCTACAGGGGAACATTTCAATCTTCGGTGGTTTACTCCAACTAATGAAGTGAATCTATGTGGGCATGCTACCATGGCAACATCAGCGGTAATCTTCGGAAAAAGAGGTTAGTGAGGACAAATAACAAGATATTTTCAAGGTTTAGAGTTTTTTAGTACAAATCATACTGAAACAGTTACAAATAAAATTTATTCTACTGTCAAATGCCTCATGTACAATACAAGTAAAGCAAACATAGGGAATCTTACTAAATACCAGTATTAATTACAAGTTTATTAATATTGTAGGAGTGTTTTGCCCTACCTGACGTGTTATTGCACTGGATTTGTGCGCTTTATAAATCTTATTATTATTATTGTACTGTCAGTACGTTCCCAAATAATTAAAAAATTTTTAATGGCATAATACATGGTCTTGCGTGCTGTACAGAAAACAAAAAAGCCAAATCTATAACTAAATATTAAAACTATGTTGAATGACATTTTTTACTATGCAGATTTGAAGACAATCCAAGCATGGAAAATTTAAAATCAGAACAAAAAACTATCTTTTACACTGTTGTATTCTACAGTTAATAATTGTACCATATTATTTAACTGAAAATTTAGAGAACAGAGGGGCAAAAAGCAAAAAAAAAAAGCTTCCCGCGGGCAATATGCAGACCAACAGTTATTTTGTTGCGGCCCACAAGTAGAAATTAAAATCCCTGTGTGTGCGGCCCTCCTACCATTTTCGGCTAGAAACCAACCCATTTTTATACCCACCCCTGAGCAGGAATGTTGTCAAATTAAATCATTTTTTATGCTATTTTCAGATAATACTAATGAACAATTGACTTTCCATACCAAGAGTGGTGAGTTAATGGTAAGCAAAGTAGGTGATGAGTATGTGATGGATTTCCCACTCAACCACACAGCCCCACAGGTAAGCAGATTGTGATCAGCATTGTCGTTGTTGCCATGTGTCTTACTCATTTTGATGATGATGATCACCATCATCAATTAGTAAAACCATTAACATCAACATCAACGTCATTATCGTCATTATTATAAGCACCATCATCATTATTCATCATCATCAAAATTATCAACATTATCATCATCATCATCATCTGATCTTAATCATTTTATGCATCATCATCATATTCCTCATCATCAAAATTATCAAAATTGTCATCATCATCGTCAAAATCAACATCAATCATTATTAAATTAATGATTGTCTTCGTTATTGTTATTATAATCATGTTATTGTTATTATCTCTGAACTTTTCCAACTAAATACTTTATTGTATTTTTATTTGTAGGATCAAACACCAGTGAAGAATCTAATACAGGTTTGTTTGTTTCTACTCAATTTTAGATTTAATTTGATATAATTTAAACCTATATTATTTTTTATGTTTTTTTATTTTTTTTATTTATTTGGTATAAAAGAACATGAAATTATAAACAGCAGCCAAGGTTGAAATGGTTTGTATTACAATTTTAAAAAGACAAATACAAAAACATTCAATGGAAAAATACATTAATATCAATATTCAAAAATTTATGTAAAGTGATAACGATTATTATTGCAACAATTATTAAAAATATAAAAATACATAAAAATTGGAAAATCAATATATAAATGTAATATGATAATTATTACGACAATTAAATTGAGAAAAAGACATATATTAAGAACAATTAAAAAGAAAACGTAAGTGAAATTGTCAATTAAAATTCTTAAAAATCATTAAATTGAGAAAAGAAAACAGAAGGAAAAACACAAGAAGACACACAGAGTCGATGCTTCACAAACAAGCAAAATTGAAACAAAAAGAATTTTGGGTAAAATGAAAAACAAACATCAAAATATACAGTATTATACAGTTAGTAGATTTGCTTTCCCTTGCACTTCTAAAAAATATAATTTGTTGCAAAAAATATAGTTTTTTGCAACATTAAATCATGACTTAAGACTCTTTGTTTTTCTAGTGGCTATACGCACTGGAAATGCTATGCCATATAAATCTGAAACACTATAGATATTATTATAAACTGCAAAACTAATTTCAGATTGTAAATATAGATTTGATTCTCAATATTGAACACTCTGAGAAAACTGCAAAACTATTATAAGTTGGATATGTAGGAGCGTGCATCAGTCGCGGTTCTGCTTCTCAACCTTGAGGTCGGAGGTTGAATTGCTATGCATTTCGCTTTTGAATGATTTCGTTCTTGGGCAAAGCACTTTACCTACAGTCGTGCACTTTGCCTACTGTTGTCTCTTGCAAAACCCAGGATAGGAGTGCAAATGGATATCTGGCACGTTCAAACACAAAATTCATTGATTACAGCTGCAAAGTTATGAAATTCTCACCAGGGAGCTAAGTATGTGTTTTGTTTGTGCTTGCTCCCGTGACTGTGGGTAATATTGTGAAGTGCTCAGAGGCCTTGCTCCCATGAAGCGCTATATAAAGCTGCATTTACACTAGACACAATAAATGACAAGACAATGACATATCATCGCATCGTTTATATATTTCAACACTGAGCAAATTTTTATTGTCGGAGTGTCGTTATTGTGTCTAGTGTGAATGTAGCTTTAGTCTAACATATCACTAAGTAAATTTCCTTCATATTTAACTGGCCTTCAGGTTATTTGCTTAGTAGCCTATTGAACTATCTTGGGAAAATTTCCAAATTTTGATGATTCAGTAAAGATAGTAAATGTTTTTTTTTGAAAAAAAAAAAACTTTGTCTGAATTTTGATTACAAGACCATCAAATACTTTTTAGTAAACATTTAATTATTCCCAGGTCTCTTACAAGTAAATGATCTGGCCACTAAATTAACATTTAATATAATTCATGACATGCAAACTGTAAATTTTAATCACTTTCTATAATCTGTTAAAAATTTCAATTATCAGATGAGTATTGGCAAGATTATACCGCAAGATGTTCAATACGCTCCTAAACCTCATGGAGATCTTGTTATAAGGTTGCCAGATTCAACATCAAGGTGAGGCCAAGTACTAATATTAGTAGAGGATTCAAGGGGTGCCATAATCATAAATTGTCTTACCTTAGCCCCAACTATGGTGGGATTGAAGTGGTCTAGACCCTTCATCTCAGCCGTTCAGTGGCAAAACAACGTAACTTTAAATTTTCACTTTTGGAGAAAAATACGGTTAAAGTTTGCATGTTCGTAACTTCGCAATAAATTTTGCAGGATTGTATATCTATAGACATTGTGATTATATGTAAAATTTTAATTACAACCATTTGTTTATTGCAAAGTTATTAGGGATAATTACAGATACGTTGTTTTGCCTCGGAAACATGTCAGGCTCGGTATTGTTGCACGTTTTGGGCGATCATATGCATTACTTAGCCTGTTCATACATCGCTGTTTAAATTGATATAAAAACACCAAAACCGTTTGATTTTGCCTTGCCAAACTCCATTGGCTCTAGACCTTTTTTGAATAGCATTCCGTGGCAAAACAATGTGTCACAGATACGTTGTTTTGTAGTTACGTCCTCCGAAAGGACTCATTATTGAGAGAAAGTTTCACAGGTAATTCAGACGTTTTTAATATACTCCCAAATGATATTATCTCAAATGACAAAAATGTTTGTTTGCCTCGGGACGGCCGATCTGTAATCACCCCCCCCACCCCCTTTATAAAAAAATATATATTAAAGGAAGACATGATTGTTTAATCAAAAATTTATGGCTCTGCACAAAATTAAATGTTTTGCATGTAGGAGTGTGTGGTGCAGCGTGTAAGCTATTGGACTTCTGATCGTGAGATCGGGAGTTTGTGACCAACACTCGTCACATTGCTTGTGTCCTTGGGCAAGGCACTTTACTTACGTTTGCCTCTCTCCACCCTGAAGTATAAATGGGTACCTGGTAGGATGGTATGGCATTGAATGTATGGGTCATGCACGTACAAGCATCAGTGACCAGGGATACTCCCCAGGGAGCAGAGGAAGTGGCACAGTATGCGTTTCTGCCAACTCATTATCCGGTGGCCAGGGAAATAATGATGCCAGCGCCTTGTATAATCTGCGGATTGTAATAAGTGCTATATAGATTCTGGTTCTTAAAAAAAAAAAAAAAAAAATACCTATGTCTGATTCAAACATTGTTTAATCGATTTTGGCCACAGTAGTGTCAATGAATTAGTAGCTTCCTTTAAACCTTCTTCATGCACACTTTCTTTGAATGTTATCAGAGATGTTCTTGAGGGTCTGAAACCAGACACGACAGCCATGATGAAGGCATTCCCAGATGGCCATATCAAAGGAGTCATCGTCACGTTACGTGGGTGTCCTGAAAATGGTGCCAAGGATGAATGCGGCGAAATTTTTGATTTCATGTCACGTTACTTTGACCCGTGGAATGGATTTCCAGAGGACCCTGTCACAGGTGTGTTAAGACAGATGATTTTCATATGCTATTGTGCATGTTGAGATGAGTTAGAAGTAAGCTTTGGAATTTTCATTATTTTAAATTTTTTTTTAATTTCATTTCACCCCCAAACAGCGAAAATGCCCATAACAGGGAGAATACAGTAAATACAATACAAAATCACAGCGATAAAATCAATAAAATCACAAATAAACATTCAAAAATAATATAAACAATACAAAAATATTCAGATAAAATTAATTTACAATAGCTACTTTTATATACAAGGAACATTGTAGGAAAGTTGAACAAAATTCAATTCCAGAGCAGGTGAATGATCAAATGGCAAGTTTAACTTGGGCTAAAAATGAATGAAGAGGTTGGTAAAAATATCAATTGATGGCTCATTGTTTGTAACAG